TGTGAATTACAGGTTATGAGTTATCACGACGAGAGAATATACAAGGCTCACCTGAAAAGCCATTATCTGATCTTGGGTTGGCTAGTTATAGACATTATTGGGCTTATAGGATTGTGGACCATCTGTCTGGCCTAATGGATACGTCATGGATTCGTGTTTCGGAGTTAGCTGCCATACTTGGTAAGTAATTGTTAGCTCAAGTCTTTCACTATCACTCCTTATTGAACTATCAAGCAAATTTCCATGTTTCTTTTTATTTATTTTTTTCATTAAAGCGACATATGGACTTATTTGTGCATTATTAGTATTTTTGAGTTTTTCTCTTTGTATATACCATTTTAAATTTGCCGCCTATCAGCTCTTGTAACATCAAGAGTAAATGTTAAAATTCTGTATGCGTATGAGCGGTTTTTTGAAGGAAAATAATAATCCTTTAGGCATGCAAGTGGAAGACGTTGTAGAGACACTTGACTGGTTGCAGCTATATGATCCATCTTTGGTGTCAGAAACACCTGAAAATATAGAGCCGTGGGTGTTTGTCTACATTAAAAAGCTAGAATTACTACGCAAGACCGTTGCGCGACCTCCACGTTTGACGTTAAACTCACGACTGCTCCATTGGCGACCTAATAAGGCATAGTACTCTGGTTAAAACTCTACTGGAATGGTACCGGTTTTACGTTGAAACGAAGTGCGTCGCTATGGGTCTAACTCTTTCGTTCAAAATTGTCATACTCATTGTTTTCAGTCTGAGTGTACTTTAGTATTAATACGACTTTATTAATCTTCTCTCTGCATCACATTTTCTCGTCTGATTGCTTTAGGGTAAACTAAGAAGTGTGTGAATATTTTTTCTTCTACAAAGGGTATTGTATGTTTTTGCTTTAGAAAAGGTTGTACAAAGTTTCATTTTCGCTATGTCAAGATCTCAGTTGTCAATAAACTTTCTAATCCACATGTCGTATGTGAAGTATTCGTTGAAGCTCGATGCTTACTTTACGAAGTTTGTTTTATTTTGCTCACATCCTTTGGCAGACGTTGTTTCAGAGGTTATGGAAGAACAAGATAAAGACAAAGAAGACCATGCTCAGCAAAATGGATCCTGTCAAGTCGCAGAGGTAAATATGTAGTTGTAAGGTTTTTTTTTTAACTTTAGAAATGGATATTCATCATCTCTTGTAACTATTCTATTTCACTGGAATGGGTTCAAGAACAGCACAGAGCGAGGTTTTTCCTGTTTTGACCCATTGAATATGGCGAATTGACTGTCATACCTAAAATTTCCACTTATTTCATTACAACATAGCTCGACTTCCAAATGATTTATTAATATTTTTGCCTCATGCTTGAACATGTATTGTTCACACTAGTACGTTGAATCTTGTCATTTCTCCTTATTATCTTTCGTATAATTCTCACAAGCTTTTCTTTGTAATGATCCTTGCGCTTGGATCAAATTGTACATTTTCAATTCTCGAGTATTTCCTACAAAACTCCAATATTTCTGTTTACCCGCTTTTTTAATCATCTACGGCCAAATCTTATCATCTGCTGTCGTTTTTTCCCTCAACCAAACAAATCTTGGGTCGAAACTCGGAGTGAACATCCTAGCTCCTATTGTTGTTTCACGAAGGATCTATAGGCTCAATTCTACATGATGCAATGTAAACCCACTGATTTTACCGATTATGCGAGTAACGCGAAGTATATAGTTGCATCTACTTACTCATTTTACTTTTATTCTTAAAATTTCCTCGTTTGATCCCTCTATTATTCTAAATTTGGTATACATACCAGAGACAGCTAATACAGAACGTCCCTTTCCTGTCTCCCTTTCTGGACTTCATTGACCTCCATTCTCTATTAAACTTTTCTTAGGAGTGGCAGTTTCATCGTTCACATATCATAGAACTTCTTGTCAAAAGTAAATATATTGAAGGAGCAAGCCGTCGTGTCCTCGGTAAACGGTATAGCAGAAAACCTAGCAACAGATTCTGGTATTGAGACTGCTGCAGAGGGCTCATCTACAGGAACAGCAGCTGCGGAAGTAGAAC